TTTAAAAATCCACTTGGCACCATTAGTGCCAATTTCCTTGCCCTCAGGGAGCTTCCATTCTAAACAAGAGCCAAATATTATCATATAAAGAAAACGGAATGACAAGTAATCATCTAAATAGATGGTTTTTCAAAGGCTCTATTAAGGGATAACACAAAGGTAATTTAGTAAATACATTTCAACTTTCTGTGCTCCTATGTTGTGTTTTCCCTAACAGCTAAATCGATCTTCAAGAGACCAACTGTAACTTACTAAATTTAGTGAATGTTCAACTTTCATTCTAATTATACATGCTGAAAATTAATGAAAATCTTCACTGTATCAAGAACAAATAAAAAAAACAAAAATAAGATTTTGCCAAAGTAACATTTTGTGCTGCATACACATATGAAGAAATTTGCCAATTTCTATAAATGTTCTGATACTGCTCATTACTTTTCTCAACACACATTCAAAATACTAAATATAATGAAGTTAGGCAATTTTTCTAATTCTCATGACTCACAAGTCTAATTTGAGCCTCAACTGAAGCCACATGAATATTCTGACTTTAAAAAACTTTACTCCTTTAGAAAGAAATGTAAGCGTTTCCTTACTTACAATGTAAAATAGATATAGCTTTAGAAATTTTGTGTTCAAATAATGTAGTACCGGCCATTTTCTTACTCGTATTGTAAAAGTTGCTTACATTTTATTTAAAAGCAGGATCACACAAATCTCATTATTCTTTTAAGAGCATCTCAAAATAAATATATTATCAATCACATAAATTGTGGAAAGTTCTGACTTTACGGGTATAGGGTGTTCCATCATTTCAAGAGACCCAATTTTTTATCATTTGTCATCTATAAAACCTTTCCCTAGTTTTATCAGCCTAGACTATCAGTAAACTTTATCTGTCTAATCTTCAGTTAGTTAAAATAATTCACTCATACTAACTTTGACCTTTAGCCTGAAAACACATACTGTTAGTAAATGATAGAAGATACCCATTTTCTTAATTAATCCTACAAGTTTTTCCAAACAAATTCCAACTTTTTGTCGCAGTAATTACTCTTCAAAATAATCAAAGGCCTAAAATTAAGATGACAATTCATCAGCATCATAACCCTTTTAGTTTTAAGCCATGTTAAAGAATTAACTGTATTCAATGATGCCTGTAGTAAAATCTTATTAACTACTGTTAAATGTCATCACTTATCAACATTTTAGAACACTATTAACGTGTTAATGACATGGGTTTCCAAAACATGACCCTAAAGTCGCTTTAAAAAGCAAAGGAAAACAAAAACCCCAAAACCCCAAATCAACAAATAAACCCTTTATTCAGAAGCTAGATTTGAACAAAAATTTATGTCCTAGTTTGACATCTGTAGCAGATCAAACAGGGAATGGAAATTGTTTTCATGTTGTCCTGGTAATTGCACGAGAAAGGCTTGTTTACACTCATAAAAATATATTTTAGAAATTCTTAAGAGGAAATCATAGGATTGAGTGACCTAAAAGGATTCTTACACTAATCAATGGTCGTCAAACTTATCCTTGTCCAGCCCTAACCCTACAGCTAATCTAGGACTTTAAGTAAAAAACCTCAATTTATGTTTAAGTTCCTCATTCTTTGTAACAATTTAACTTAATAAACACATGCTAAACCTATGTAGCCTCATTTTCATTTCCATCTAAATGTACAATACTAGAATATATTGTTTGTTCCTATCTCTTACTTCATGGCAACCATTAACTCTTCATTTCCAAATCTTTATAGAGAAAGCGCTATCATGGAAGAACACTGCATAGTGGAAGCACACTGGCAGAAAATAAAAAGTGAAACACATTACCATTAATTAAATTTCATGGAAACCACTGGCATATTATTTATTGTGTTAACTTTTTAACATTTAGTGAAGAGGTCCTATTAAAAGATCTCCCCATTGTGTGCTCTAAATTGGGGAACTGGTGTTTGAATGTATAGGTTACTGAAAGTGAAAGAACTCAAACTATTTTTAAAAAGTGTTAAATGAAAAATGATGAAATGGAGGACGCCCACAATAATTTCTGGACTCCTGGAGATCCTAAGACATGCTACAAAAATAGGTCTTTATTCTTAGGAAAATATAGTCAGAGCTAGCTTCCTTATGCTATACATAAAATCTTAACATCAGAGGCAGTACAGATAGTACAGAGAGTTTTTAAACTGATCTCCAAACAAGCACAAACCCACTACGTTGAAAGAACAGGAAATTTGAGGTTTTTGGCAAAAGACAATACTTCATAACATCTAATCCAAATCAAAGAGCCTGCAGACAGTATTCAGTGATAAAAAGAATGAATATAAAAATTTTATGGATTAATAAGTGTAAAAGACAACTAATTTTTCCATTAAGATACTTATCAGGTACAAGCTTTTGTTTCTCCATGCCAGACTTCTAAGTGGTTATCAGACTACTATTAATAGCATTAAAAACTTCCTCTTTGACCCAGAGCATTACAATACTAATCTCCTTTTCTAAGAAAGAACATGTTTTCCAAATGAATCTTCCTATTCTTGAACAGTTTTAGCTATTACTAAAAGGAGACTGTGATACTAAAGAAATTTATCAAGTACTATCTTAAGTACTTTTGTTAAAAAAAGTTGACAGATCCCAATAAATCTACTTACGAAATTTGCATAATTAAAAATGTCTGCAAACACTGGCTCATAATTAGCATCTTATGATACGTAGTGGCACACCCTAATGAGTGGTAGGAAATTGATACACCTTAAAACATCCTAGTCTGTCCCTTTTATATACTGTCACGTAAGTGCTTTTCCCCTCCCCCTAGTTAATTCTATACCCACCACTGAATTCTATGATCAGATAAATAGCACACGTCACTGGAAAAACCATGGTCTTGGTGGGTATTCTTGGAAGTTTTAGAAACCTGAGAAATCACAGAATCCAAGGAAGGGTAGCTTCCATTTCTAAATGCATTAAATCCTTTTGTTTTTTTAACTTTTCTTTTAAAGACTACATGTTATACTCTGTAACAGTTATCTTTTTGTTTCTGACCAACAGTGACTTTTGATTAAACACTCAAATGTGGCCCTCAATGTATAATTCTGTCATCCTATTATTAAATATTTTCAAATATTATATGCACAACTGAATACCCTAAGTCACCCCATCAGCCCGCTTCTGCCTTTTTCTAGATGATTATGAGGAAACTGTTAATATCTTATTAAGTCCGGCTTACAGAAATTGGTGGGAAAAATCTTTATGTAGTGTTCTCCCCAGCATTTTGTGCTCAATTCCACATTCATTTCTAACATTTTATTTTGTAAATGGCTGAAAATATTCCATGAAAAAAGTATGTTTGGTCAATTATTTAAGTTCTTTTCTTTAAAAAAAAAACCTTTCTAAAAATTACTGATGAAGGAAATTTATGATTACTTTTGATTGCCAAGTAGTCTGCAGAAACAAAATCTTGCGTCTGTTTTGGTTAGGTAACTCAGTTAAACAATCAGAATGATGTATACATTTTTCACCCCAAGGAAGGGACTTCATTCTTGTATTTAAGACCCTTGCCTTCACAATACATGTAACATTTTTTAATTTGGCATTTGCTCATTCTTTGAAGCTGTCAACGCCAAGAACCCAAACAAATCACAAATAGCAATAACCTACAATAGTTAACATTCCCCCTTTACATGTTGACATTTTTACTAAAAGATTAGTTATTTTTCATTTCCATTTCTCATATCCCATGACATTCCATATAAATTGCATTATTGCTTTATAGGCCACACAACATTCAAAAGTATGTTTATATGCATTGCCTGTTTTCCTTGATCTCTGATTAAAGAGTTTGATATGGATTTTACTATAGAAATTTAAGTTTGAAAATATCAGTTAGTATTTCTTCTTAGAAGTTAATTGTTCACATCACTAATCACTACATGCATATTTAGCTCTGATTATATTGCTCAAAAACTGCACCCATTATCAGAACAGTGCAAATGATATTTAATTTTAAAAGCAATTATAATGGCTTGAATTCAAAGTTATTCAAATGAACACTGTCAAGTAATTTGAGTGTGTATATATTTCTTCACCCCTCCTTGTATTGACGTTCTTTAAATGTAACCAACAATTCTTCACAATTTTTTTATCATCCGATGTTTTCTCTCCCAGGTCCCCAAACTAAGAATGCCAAATAGTCTTGGAAATCCACAGCTCCACAATATTTTAATGTTTACGAACACATTTGTGAACTCACAAAAGTGTTCAACATTTCAACTTTGACAATGCAGTCCTACATTAAGTCAAACAAACTAGTTCTAAAATCCCAACAAATAATTCTGAGAATTAACTTAAACACCTTGACAGTGTCCCTTAAAAACGGTATGACAGTAAAGTGCCAATAGGCATGGCAATGACCTCTTTGATGGGATCATTTAATTCCTTGGCACTGGGAATTAAGTGCCAGCACCAAGGATTACACTGAGATTGAATTTTTCTGAAGGCTACATTTCAGTTTTCCCACTGTTCATAAACCTACTGTACTTGTTATGTTAGACTGAAAGGTGTATGTTTCATGTAGCCTTCAAACTTACACTAAGATTTGAGAGATATGCACTTTAAAAAAGCACGGGGTAATATAAAAATTCAGTGGCAGAAAGTTTCATTAAGCACCAGGAACTAATTTTTGTGACCCCATACTCATTTGTAGTAAGTTTCAGTAACCGGCAAGGCACATTTACATATATTCCAATGAATACTTATTGACAAATTTTAAATTACACTCTATGTCCCAGCTATCCCAGTAACTGACATACAATATACTAAAATGATTTATTAAGAGAACATAAAAAAAAATCAATTAATGTGAAACATATAGCCTAATGGCAACCACTATACTAAAATTATGTAAGTACAAGTAAACATATGGAAATGTGTGCAATTCTAAGTTTTTAAACCAGAAGATTTCTATACTAACACACATTTATATTAATGACACAT